GAGTGGCTGCACGCGGAAGCAGACCCGGGAGATGCAAGGTGCCGGGGAGATGCCGGGGCCCGGAGAAACACCGGACCCGGAAGGGGCATTGCTGGCGACCATCCTGGAAACTGGCGGGACGGGGATTGTTGAGGACTACATCTGCAACTCGCTTGTAAAGGGGCAGTGGGACGAGGAGCAGACACGCCGTATGGAGATGTACAGGCGCGATGTGCAGGAGGTGTTGGGCCCGGAACAGCAGGCGTTCGGGGTCGAGGTCGACNTCCCCAATATATCTAATAGATGCAAGGTACCGGGGAGATGCCGGGGCCCGGAGAAACACCGGACCCGGAAGAGGCACTGCTGGCGACCATCCTGGAAACTGGCGGGACGGGGATTGTTGAGGACTACATCTGCAACTCGCTTGTAAAGGGGCAGTGGGACGAGGAGCAGACACGCCGTATGGAGATGTACAGGCGCGATGTGCAGGAGGTGTTGGGCCCGGAACAGCAGGCGTTCGGGGTCGAGGTCGACGCCTGCGGGTCTTCGCAACCACTCCCAGACCCGCAGTTCCCGGAAGGCTGTGGTAGCATGTCCGGCAAGGGCCGAAGAGAGATGACGAGCCCGCGGTGGATAAGCCTGTGAGGGAGGCAATCGGATGCCTGATGTGGACGAAGCTGACGAGGCCAGACATCGCCCTGCCTCTGAACAAGCTCCAGAAGATCGCCCACCCACCCACCGGGAGGATATGGAACGCGCTTGTGCGGATCATGTCCTACCTGAACTTCACGAAGGACTTTGGCATCACCTACGTACGGGGGTCAGGACTAGACCTAAGCGTGTTTGTCGATGCCAGCTATGCTGACAACGAAGTAGACAGGCGTTCTACGACCGGGCTAGCTGTGACCGTAGGTGGTACCGTAGTGTGTGCATCCACCAAGACGCAGCCAGTGACGGCTCAGTCGACCTCGGAAGCAGAGTATATGGCAGCTGGGGAGGGCGTGAAGGAGGCGTTGTTTGTGCGTGGCGTTCTGTCGTTCATAGCGCCCGAGACGAGTGGGGCGAAGATCAAGGTCCTTGAGGACAACAAGGGGGGCTCTCGCCTTAATCGAGAACCCGTTCAGCTCAGCGAGGAGCAAGCACATCGACGTGCGGTTCCATTTCATTCGCGAGCTATTCAAGTCGGGCAAGATCACTGCAGAGTATGTTCCGACTGGAGAGCAGCACGCCGACATGCTAACAACCAAGGTCCTTGGCAGAGAGAAGTTAGAGTACCACCGGAAGGCTCTGATGAACCTACCGATGTAGTGTTCTCTTGGTCTGTTTGGTGTATGTGGTGGTTTTAGCATTTGGCATATATGACCATGGTACGTCACGCAGGAAGCGTTGTGCCGGCGCGTCACCCGCGGCTGGAGCCTAGAAACGCCGAGAGCGTTGCTTCGGGTGTGTAATCAGCGTGACCGGTTCAATCTGTCCTGCCTTGGTCTTGTCTTGGAAGTGCGGCCGTCGGAATCCTCCGTGATAGCGACGGTTTTTCTATATTTAGGGTGTTAGACAAGGGCTTTTGATCCGGTTGGCCGGGATTTCCCTCGAGCCTGTTGTTGTTTTGAATCCCTTTGGTAGATCAGGGGTATCCATGCCCCACGTTAGGTTTGCCATTCGCTTGCAAACCGGGGAGGGTGTTCGTGTGTTTGGATACGGACTGGTTAGATCTACCGGCAACAACAGAGGACACGCAGATGGGGCATATATACACCTTGAAATGGTTGCATGTGCGGGGACCCCTCGAACTCCAAAGAGGGCTTCACTTCTCCCTACTCCCCTTGCGTGTCTAATGCAAGAGATAAAACGTCTTCCCCTTCCAAGTAAAGGACATATACGAACATGCCCTGTTATAATCGTGCGGTAGAGCGCTACATAGACATGGGCAAAGGTGTGGGTTGAGATATGAGTACAGGCTATTTGTTCTCGGGCATTTCGGCGAGTAAGACGGGTAAGTAGATCAAAAGGGAACCGAGGCCAGTGACGGCGGCAGACATGACAGCAACGTTGAAGAATTACGCGAGAGGAGTCGGTTTGGAGCAGGACTTTTCGATGCATTCGTTCAGGGCAGGGGGAGCCATTTCGAGGGCTAGCCGGAGAATCCCTTTCGACAATCATGCAGAGAGCGTATTGGGAAAACCCGAATACGGCGTGGCGGTAGATGAGGCTCATGGAGGTGGTAGCTCCAGGAGCGGGAAGCGAAGGCATGGTAGAAGGGATCACGGAGGACCAGTACCGGGAGTTGAACGAGTTTTCATTGAGCGAACAGAGTCGTTCATTGGCTGCGTTCGGGAACAAGCCATTACTCTTAGTTCAGAAAAGACAACGAAGAATATTACGTATGTTTTAGTATGGGATCTGAAGGATGTGGAGTTAGTTTTGGAATGGGTGAGTTCACCAGCCGCGGGAGGTGAAGCCGCTGTCTTGTCCCACACTATAGGGGAAGAATAAACAGAGTATTATGAAGACCGGTCCGGGAAATGTTCCAAACATTTTCCAGGAACGTTCGCACACGAAAGCACCGTATCGCAGGGGTGCCTCTCATTCTCACTTCTTTGGGCAACCAAGGGCCGACACGGCAAACAGGAGGAAAGAGAGAATACGTTTAACGCACCAACCACCCACCCACAACTGGTAGTAGTACACTACAAGGTGACGTGTATTTTCCAATAATTCAGTCACGATCAGAGAGTGTCGATGAGTGTTGCAGAGACACAGGAAAACACTTCGTTGGAAGCGACGCGCTGCGAAGCTCGTTGTTACTAAACTTGATCGACTTCAAAAGTCGCGAGGGAAAGGATTGCTGTACCCTTCTCGCGATAAAAATATCTCAGGCAGGAACCGCAGGAGGGGGTCCACCCCCCCTCCTATGTGACCCCGGTTGGGTCGTCTAGCTGGTAGAAGCGGAGGATATGGGCCAGAGGGGCAGACGACAGAGTCCAATGATGGGAGAAAAACAAAAGCAAACAAAAACTCATCGACATTTCTTTTTCACGACGGGTTGCTTCACCAACCTAGCGGAAGGTGAAGCCGCTGTCTAATTCCACACTATAGGGGAAGAATAAACGGTCACAGAGATACTGCTGAATACAACACGTTTTCCCATACGTCCCTACCCTACCACGGCCCGTCATGGCCCAGCTGCTCCAGTCTACACTCCCAACACACAGAACTGAGCCACCCGAACTATCAGTCTATTGTGGGTATCCTCGTAAACCGCCGGTAGCAGAGGTCGTGAGTTCGAATCCCCATTGGGTGAAAAATGTACAGAACATGCGGGTGAAAGCGAAATGTAGCTGTTAAGCTCTCGTGAGTACCAAACTTCGACGTTAGCACCGTTGGCGAGGGAAAGGGGCGGCTGGACCCTTCTCGCGATAAAACCAAAATTCAGCACGCACCGCAGCAGGAAGGTGGGGGGGGGGGGGGGGGGG